GTTTAGTTTGTGCCTTCAAGTCGTTGCCCATAGGAAGACGTTACTGGATATAACCTAACGGAATATCTTCAGAACGGCTCCAAATGACACTAAACTCATCTGGGTGAGTAGAACATGATGGAATAACGGAAAATCAAGGACCTTTGGAAAAAAAAACGGTGTTCCCCTTTAAGGGTCTTGCTCAGTAACCCAGAGTGTTTGATGGAGTTTAGCTAGCAGCTCCAAACCACAGCCACTGACTCTCCTCAGGTCTGTCCTTCTGCTTCAGACTGATCCTGATGAGGGAAACCCTCCAGTCGGGGTGTTTAAAGCTCGGAGCTGCATCCGGGTCAAGCTAGGACCAGCTGATGGCTGTAATCTTTCAGGTCGATCGCTGCTGAACTTAAGGTGCTAAACGTTTCTGATGGATGGGAGGACTGTTTCTCAGGGATCGCATCAAACTTTTGCAGGTCTGAGGAACACTTACTGGGGCTCCTCTCCTCAACAAGGTCACAGGCACACAGGTGGTCCGAGTCGATGGAGATGGGTTTCTGGCGAATGCGGAAAAACTTCTGATTGGTAACAGGATCAATTTCCACTTTTTCTCCTGAAATGCCTGCAGAGAAAGGTTGGAAGTGGTTTATGGTGGAGGAGCGTTTAGTTTGGTAAAATGCCAACATTTCTGATCTAAAGACCCAACAGAAAAACATCTGGCAGAAGATACCCAACATCTGGACCGAGGGGCGGCCCCTCCCAGAGGAAGAACCGGCTCTGCTTTCATTCAGCCTGGAGGAATCCTGGCTGTTTGAGCTTCAACATTTACAGCTAAGCGTTAGCTTAAGGCTAAATGTTAGCAGCATCTTTACTGATGGCGTTCTCATTAGCTGAGATGGGAAGCAGAACAGATGAAACGGTTCTACATTAAAGGGCGACTGATTGGTTCATCAGCAGCTAAATGAAGCAGCATTTTTACGCCCTAAAGGCACCAACATCTGGAACCTTCTGTCCCTTTCTGCTGGTTTCCTCCTCCATGCAGGAACCTTCAGGTTCTGCTCCACCTGAGCGTATGTGGGCGGTCTGGGCCCCCGGCAGCAGGAAGTACCTAGCTGGACTTCTGTGGTGAAACGCAGCTTATGGATCAAGCTGATCTTGAAGGACTTGTAGTGGTGACTGCTCAGCATGTCCTGGACGGTGGTGATGTCAATGGTAGGGTCTTCCTCTGAGCTCTCCTCGCCTCTGGAGCCTGAAACAGCAGAAACATCTCATCATTAACCAGAAGGTGC